AATTCTGGGCTTAATCCCTAGTACTAATAATCCCATATTCTTAAATCCTAGTACTAATAATCCCATATTCTTAATCCCTAGTCCAAATAATGACATATTCTTAATCCCTAGTACTAATAATCCCATATTCTTAATCCCTAGTACTAATAATCCCATATTCTTAATCATTAGTCCTAATAATCCCATATTCTTAATCCCTAGTACTAATAATCCCACATTCTTAATCCCTAGTCCAAATAATCCCATATTCTTAATCCCTAGTACTAATAATCCCATTAGTACTAATTAACCCATATTCCTTACTTCTAAAAGAATTCCCCTGTACAATAATTTAATAGTTGTAGTTAATTCACCAAACTATGTATTAACAGGAGGATTAATTTTCAATCCGTGAGATGATTTTATACTTAATCTTATTCCCTAATAATCCTAATAAACCCTTACTCTTTATTCCTAAAACATTTTTCTAATCCCAACTAATAACTTATTCTTAAGCTCTAAAAGGATTTTTCTAATCCTGATTTTCACCAGTTTTATCTCTGAAATTGAAAATCTGTAAATTGGTCATATTTTAAGGAACCGAGTCCGAATTTAATGAATTTGAGCCGCGTCTCAAATCTACCAAAAACTGGTTTCAACTGAGCGGCGGCTTAAATCTTGAAACATTGAATACAATTTAAATGTGGAACTAGCCATATTCGAGCCACGTCTCAAATTTAAGTCGCCGCTCAAATTCTTTTAATTCGATCACTGTATAGGTAAACGTCATTCTAAGTGACACCTATCCCTTATTATTGATTAATTTTTATGTCTGATTTATCAAATTAAAATTTAAAAACATCATATGCTTTTTTATTATTGATTAAAATGATGGGTCACTTGAAAGTACAAAAAAAAATACCAATGCCCTAAGTCGGAAACATTATTTTTTTTACTTTTTAAAAAATTCCATCACAGCAAATTGAAAACAAACTCCGATGAACTTACAAATCAGGAATGAATTTTTTTTTCTAAGTATAAAGAAGGCTTAAATAATTCAATAGTTTTATTATATAATTATTAATTATATATAAATTATATATATTTTTAGGGTTTATATTCACACCCCTAGCGAGCATATAGTAACGAATGTTGTCTCGGGTCGGAAAATGAGAATCCAAAAATATAATTTCCCAGATACAGTTATCTGGAACCCTTGGGAGATGCAAGCAAAGGTAAGCACACAGTGCATTTAGAACATTTTAGGGTGTTATGGCCTTTTATATTCTAGTTCTGTCAATTCAGGCATCTTTTGTAGGGTAAAAAAATATATAAGACCTAAAATTAGAAATATCTGTGGGGCCTTCTTTGAGAAAATCCATTTATTAAAAAATCTAGAAATCAAGTTCATTTTTCAGGTCAAGGCTTTAGTCAGTTTACTCTCGTTATTTTGCAAAAAAAAAACAGTAAATGGGACCCGCCTAGCCAGGGTAGGTTGTTGTGAGTGGTTGGCCCTTAGTTAGTTAACGATAATGAATATAATTGGTTACGCACATCAAATTATGTTTTGGTAAAGAGTAAAGAGTTGATTGGTAGGAGATTGTCAGGTAATCTGTGGCAGGGTGAGATCAGAGGCATTATCATAGAGATAAATAAATTAATTTCAAAAGAGGTGGGGAGGGAGATTTTTCACTTTACTATAGTATTGACCTCTGTTTGGTTTAGGAGATGGTTGATTTCGGAGATGACGAGCACCCAAATATGATCTGTGTGAATGCTGGTCATGTAGCTGCTCCGGTCACCTTGCTCCCACAGCAGGGGTTCGAGGCCAGCCTCATATTACAGGTAGAATCTGGGTTAAAGGGATAGTTAACAAAATTTGTACGGACTCTTGAATATTAGATTCTCAACTAAAATTTTTTTAATTTAATAAGTTTACCCTTTAACAATAATTTTCATAATTTTTCCTTTTACTCCCTTATGCTCTCGGGAGGGGAGGCAAAGGGGGATGATCCAAATAATAGATAAGAAAAAGCCAGATTTTGCATAATTTAAGTTCAGACTAACAATAAGTTCTGGGCTATTGTCACTCAGCCAAGATTGTAAAGTTTTGATAAACCTTTTAATATCAGGGCCTCACTTAAAATTTAGATAAAATTCCTTAAGTAGTAATGATTTATTAACAAAAAATTATTAAGATATGAAGATATTGATAAAGAACTAAAAAAATATTTAAATTACGACCAGATGTTTTTGAAATCACAAGTTCGTTTGTTGTTTTAGATTTTTAGAAACATTATTTAGAAGATAATTTTTTAATTTAGAATAATGTAATAAAATAATATTGAAGAGAAAGAGAAAAAAAGAGTTAAACAAAAAATAAAATTAATCGTGAACATTTTTGTATTTTTAGGTTATGTAAGCATCAAGTTTTCATCGAGGAACAAACTGGACAGAAAACCTATGTATACAGTATTGTACAGTACAGCAAACTTCTGTACAACTATGTGCACATAATCGTACATAAAAACGCAAGTTTACATTTTTGAACAAGAAAACTTGAATGTTTATTTGAGTACATATATTTATCTAATCACGAAATTTTAAAGTCAGCTCTGTACAGTGTACATACTAACAACCAACTGTACAGCAAACACATCATGTGTACTGCACATATTACACATGATGATTGATAAAAAACAGACATGAGACGGAACTCTAAAAAAATTTGAATATCTTTTTCGTCTTTCAACTTTAACCCCTGGCTTCTCTACCTTCAAAGCCCATACATATACGTCAGTGACCACCAATCTGATAATATGTAACGTTGTCAAATTCTAGAATGAAGGTCATGTTTTGCCTTAATATATAGAACATAGTTCCGACGTATGTCAGTGTAAAAATAATTAATATGCACCTAGTGTATTAGCCCTTTTCCCAGTATATTGTACTCAGAAGTCAACCTTTAGTCTATTACTTTATAAATATGTCATATATAAAGTTATTTTTGTTATCATGGACTTAACAGATGTGTAAGATTGGGGTTACTTATTTAAAATTTGTATAATTATTAGGCTACAAGCTCTTGCCTTGATAATAAGGAAATATTATATTCCAAGGAGTTAAAATCTCAAGTCAACGGGACTGTAATTGTAAATCCAAGTCAACGGGACTGTAATTGTAAATCTAAAGTCAACGGGACTGTAATTGTAAATCCAAGTCTCCATGAAACGATTGCAATGCCCGATTCACAAGGGTACCCTTGTAACTTTTATCTGATCAATACTGTGGATTACATTGTTGTTATTCTGGGGTTAAAATTCTTAATTCTGATAATTCCTATATGGGTTTTTTACACAAGAAATGCGCAAGTCACATTTTTCGAAAAACCAAAATTCATAATAATTAGTTTTCAAAATGATTAACATTGATATCTAATTCGTACTTGATGGTAAAAAGCTTTTAAGAGTACAGTTGTGAATAAGACATTGCCATCTCTGCATGGTAGGTCCTTGAAAATACCCTTACAGTCCCATTAACAATAAAAACTTTAAAATCTAAAATTTGTCAAAAAAGAGTGCATACACTGATTCAATACAAGTTCCTACTGAACCAATAGTGTGATTGTATTTTTGGGCGGGAAAAATATTTGTTGGTGGATTTTCTCCTGGTGATTTTGAACTGTTGTACAAAGTACAAAATTTAGTTAAAACTGTACTTCAGAACTCTTCAATAATAGTTCTATTAAGAATCTGTACTAATCTAGAGTGAAATATGGTGTACATAGATAATAGTTGTTGTGTACATATTAAACTATTACGAAATCAAATATTTATGTACATTTAACCTCTAGATCTGTCTATAATACAGGGTATAATCTTAACTAATAAAATAATAACTTTTTTATGTAAAAATATGCAAACTATGTGATTTATGATAATGCAATAGTAAAACCGGTGTCAGAAATACCAGCAGAAATAGTCAAAAATAATAATCAACTGGACATATTAAATACATACATTCATGTTATGTTCACATTGTTACACACATTATAAACAATGTACATTTGCATGCTCAATTTATAGTTCAACATTTTGGCGTGCAGTAGGATAAGTCAATCTCTAATAAAACTCGACATCCACAAAATAGGTTAAAAACTCAAAATTTTTCTTTTTCTTTCCAAACTTTTAGTCGGGATTGCTCAAGAAAATTTTTTTTTTTTGCATTTTAAAACTTTTTAATAAAAGATTACTTATCCTACTGTGCAATGCATATATCCTGTACACATGAAATAAATGAATGTATAAAAAGCCAATTTTTGGGGTATTTTTGTAAATTTTCCAAACAAAATTTTCCAAATTTTAAAATTATTGATTTATGAAGAATAAAAAAATAAAAATTCAAACCAGAAATCTTCCAGGCAATGCAGACGTAATTTTTAAGTGACCCGTGTTTACAAAGGGACATGCACGATTCACAATGGTACCATTAAACTCTTCTGATATTAGGGTACCTTAGTAAATCGGGTCTGTCATGGCCAATGGACACTTTTACAATCCCTTGAAAAATTTGGAAAATTTACGACCCCTTTGTTCACTTCATTGTCAAACACAACACATATACTTTTTTTCAAAATTCTTTTTCAAGCTTTTTGGTTCCATGATTCAGTATATGTATGTATTACCTTAAAAGACTGATTTAAAATATATTTCTATTGTACACTAGTGTATTTTGTTGATAATATTCCTGCAGATATAAATGTAGATATATTACATCTAGTAATTCTTTAAACTCGAAATAAATTAATATACAACATTATATTTACTGATTATAGGAGAGACATTTATTTTTCAAATAAACTTCCACAACTCAGTGCAAATTTGCTTGCGAAGACCATTTCATTTTTTAAAGTTCTTTTTTCACAGATGCGAAAACATTTTTTAGTTTTTTGTCTAAAACTCTTTAGATACACAAACAGACGGAGATTTCTACTTTGTTCAGATATTGGACCAACTTATTTAATTATAAATGTTCTAATAATTAATAATTAATTATAACAAATCTGAGTTTGCGGTAAAAACTTAATTGCTTTATGAAATAAAAATATTTTTTTAAGTACTACCTATTTTTTAAGACTAGAGGCCGAGCGCTGTGGATTGAAGCCTTGATGATCATTAAGAGGAATTTTATTTTTTAGTCGAACCTTGGTATTCTTCTTTGTGTGCAATTAAAAAGCATGCTAGTAAAAAAAGTAGTTTCTTCCGATGCGGGTCTTGGACTATATTTAGATGTTACATCGTCTATACGTAACATCCCCCGCACTGAACTTCCGACCTACTGCAATATCGGACCTACGCCAGCTGTTAATTATTTTATTATTTGAGGGTTAGGTCAGGAATTAAGACAATTTCTGGGCCGAGCATTGCTGCTAGGGGGCAGGGCGCTGCGGCCACAACTCCAAATAGCAGCTGTAAAACCACGTGCTAGTAGGTCAGATGTGTACTATAGCGGATTTGGCGTAGGTCAGAAGTGGAGTATGGCGGATTTGCGTAAGTCGAAAAATACACCACCAATAAATGGCTCGGATGAGAATTTTTTGGGTGCCATGTTCCTCTAGATTTAGCTAAATAAATGGCCCTCCCACGTGTGTTCTCTTATCTCTCTCTGGTATAGTGTTTTGTTTTTTGTGTTTGCATAAACTTAAATTTTATCAGTCAACTGAATTTATTTATTTTCTCAGTAATTTATATATTTACTAACAGTAATGGCAACATTTAGCTCTAGAGAACTCGACCTACAATATTTAAAGTCCTTTAAATAAAAAGGGACTGTAATTGGTAATTTTAAGGGACTCCATTTAAAGAGCAGTCTTTCCAATTGATACCGGAACCTAATGGCGGTACCATATAAAAAATTATTAAGAATGCATAAGGTATTTTTATAGTGACATGATGAGTTCTGCTCCAAAAATAATTGAAGAAATTTTAATCTTGTTGCACCAGCTAGTCCTATTGAATGTCTGCTTTATTTACCCAATGTCCGGGCAATACAGTACAAACTGGGACCGGAAAGGTTGACCCGGCGCGGAAATTCAAATGTACTACGGCTGCCCGTGTATAAGTAAGTTACTGAGGTAAAATTAAAACCAAGGCATTGCCACACTTCAGAGTCAACCCAGTATTTAAAATTATAACAACTTCTTATACTCTTTAGGATCGATATGGTCTCATGTGTGTAAAACTATATCATTTAATCGTTATCAAAGAAATGTTAGTGGATTAAATATTTGAAATCATAACTAGTGCCCGGCGTTGCCCTCAGAATTTTAGAAACACTTGAAAAAAAATTTAGATTTAAAAAAAATTTAAATTAATTTTTTTATCCTTTTATCCCCAGGTACTCAAAAGTTCCCTCGAACAATTTCAGCCAATTTGGTCCAGCCGTTTACTATCATATATATATATATATATATATGAGCGAAGAGCTTCATTATACAGATAACATTCAATTTCAGATATATTGAGACCTACTGCAAGTATGAAGTCTAAAATGATTAACATCAAAGAACCTGATCAAGGAAGTTGTCTCCAGCTTCAAGATCAACCAGGAGAACTGGCTTGATGTACTCAAGGGGGTCAAGAAATAGGAGGATACTTACCTGTTCGAAGATCTCTGTAACATACTTCAGGATAAAATTCAAGGTATTGGGATTCATTCAATTGATAAAATTTGATTTTACTATTTCTTTAGGAGGAATAAAGAAAACCCTCCTAAGCTTTAAAAAAATTCACCTGATTAAAAAATATTCAATATCAAATGTAATATTTTTGCAGGGGTATATATTTCTTAGACATATCATTCCCCCCCCATCCTTCTTCGGGTTTAATGCTTCATCTAAGACCCAACTGAAGTAACAGCTGGCAATATCTTGTGTCACATTATTAACCGCTGCTAGCTTATAAACTACACTAAAGAGTTATGCCAGATGAAAATATTATCAATCTTGGATGGATTTAGTGGAGAATTAGTCTCAATGTGAGTCTGATTCTAATCAAATACAAAAACCACCATTCCAACTAGTAAAATTCCATCAAATACAATATTAAGCCCAACTCTGTCCTGTTGAAATTTAGTCTCAAAGCTTGAGTCTGAATTTAGTTTTCATGACAGCTTAATCTTTACATTTTCTAAATTCGGTGAAATTCATATTATAAGTTTCTCATGCTTGATATCTTTAATATTTAGACTACCTGAAGGGTGTGACCTCATCTAATCAATATCTGGAGAGTCTTCAAGAATCTGAGGACGAAGATTTCTTTTCCTGGGTTAAAAATAGGGTTCAGAAATGGAACAGATCAGACACAGGTTGGTCTTGGTTTAACCTTTTATTCTCATCCTAATAACTTAATTTTAGTCCATCTTCAAACTCAACAATTCAAAGAAATAATTTTTTCAGATTTAGATTTTATGGCATTTATCCCAAAGAAGTGTATGTAAGAATGAATTGGCAGTTCTATATAAGTTGTACTCATTTGTTTGTTAGTCCAGGGGTTTATATTTTCTTTAAAATCATATCCCATAACTTAAATGATTTTTTTTTGTATAAAGAACTTTTTAAACTCATATTTTTTATAAAAGGTAAACTATTTTCTAATATTTAGGGTTTCAACAAGAAGAGATGAAGAATTCCAAAAAAATCAAAATCATCGATTTACAGACTCAAACTCAGAATTTGGAATCACAGCTAAAAAGCATATCAAATAGAAAAAAAATATTAAAAAATATACACGAGAAAATAAGGAAAAGGCAAGAAAGATCTAGATTTTAAAGTTCAAAGCCCTGTTTAATTGCCCTTGTCATGATATGGAGGGAGTAATGTTTCCTTGAAGGACATAGTTAAGCATATCAAACATTGTGATTATATTGAGTTTAGAAATTGTTATCTGGAGCTGAATACAGAAATGAACATATAAGACTTGATATAGGAGCTGTTGTTTACAAACTGGAAGAATATGACATCTGGTTTGTGATTGTTAGAACTTGGATTAGTGGATCAGTGTGTTGCTCTACATCATGTATTACAATAAAGAAAAAAACAATTTAGATATTTTCATAATAGAGTTATGAAATATTAAACGGTCAAATGTGCTCCTATGGGGATATCAGTTAAAGATGCTTTCAACAATAACTTCACAACGACAATGAATAATGAACGTGCTCTTGTGTTGACATTAAAATATAAAAAGCATAACCATCTTTCTCAAAAAGCTCAGGGAGTGTTTCTAAAATATAAAGAGTGTATTGACAAACTAAATTCAGAAAGAGGTTATATTTTACAATACAATAAAGTAATTAAGTTCTTGTCAAAAACTCAAATTTTTTAATCCATATAACTTTGTAACCAGCTACAGAACATGAACTGTTCATTGTCAACTATGCTAGAACCATAGATAAAGATAGACGACATTTTTCATCTTGAAGGATATGAATGTACAGAGATGTTTTAAAGATGTTCCTATTATATAGGTTAGCTAGGTCAGTTGTGAACATTGGCTGTTCTTATGTCATTGAGTACTTGTGGTGTACACAAGTTCTGTAGAGAGAAATTTAAGTTAGTTTAGTCCTTCTCATGTCCTTCTTTAGTTCTCCTCAATATGATATATGATATATTGCTCAGTGAAATAATTTGATATTCTCAAAATAAAATTCACTCCAGAGATGGAATTTAAAGAATTTGAGCCGCGGTTTAAATCCGCCAAAACCCGTTTTAAATTTAGCGCCGGCTTAAATCTTGAAACATTTGATACAATTTTAAGTAGAAACAACCATATTTAAACCGCGGCTTAAATTTAAACCACAGCTCAAATTCTTTAAATTCGGCCACTGAGGGGTTTAATAATTATGAAATCCATTAAAATACCAAACCACTCAGCTTATCATATGGCTAGAACAGAGAAATACAGAAAATTTGATATCCCTTCTATGTTGATAAAATTAAACTCCCTTATGATATAACCTTATCTTATTTTGTGATATAGCCCATGATAATTCAATTATATTCTTATAGAATTTTAATCATATTATAATATTTATTATGATCTTGATCTATCTTGAATAAATCTTACTTTACTATCTTTGTAACCTAAAAGTGCAAGTCTGTGTTTTTTAATTTAGACTTTTTGATATAAACATGTTGAATTTATAGCCTCTGGATTTATAAAACTTTCTCTATTAACCAAAGGATTAGTGACTTTTTAATTTATAAAGTTTTCAGTTTGTCTTTCAAAAATTTCAAATCTTAACTAAGTTTGTGATTTGACATAAATGAACCTTGCAAAAATATAAATTAAAGGGACTGCTCTTGTAATTTCAAGTAACTTTCCATTAAAAAAGAGGGGCAAGTCTTATTCACAACATGGCCCCTTAAATGTCTATTCTGAGTAAATAGTTAAAAGATTTCGTCGTTTTCCAAGTCGTTTTCTTTTGCAAGAGATCTCAACGTCATTTTGCAGAGAAACCGTAATTCAAAATAGATTCAATTTTCAAAGAGAAGATGATGGATATCTTTAAACGTATGTTTACAGTCTAGATCTAAAATCGCCCAGTAATCAAAGTATCAATTCCATTTATTTTAGTTTTACTTTAATTATTTAAACTTCAGAACTAAGTTTCTGACACTACATTGATAAATATATACAAAAGATTTTTGATCCTTTACAGTCCATTAATGTAAATTACATATTTGTATAAACAAACAAACATACATTTTTATCTACGAGTTCCAATACATTTTATTTAAGATATAACGTTGAACACTAAAAAATATGTACAAAACATTATCAATCTTTTACATGTCCATCAATACATCAATATAGAAAACAACATACAATATATTTAAATTACGAGTAAATAAAAGATATATAGTTTATGCAGGGTTACCCACAAAGAATGAGTAATTAATAACGACGACATAAAAATCTTTTAATATCACGATACAAAGATAGAACTTGGTCTTTTGCCTTTTATATAAAGTTTTTAAACGATATATTATGTACACTGTACAACTGTATTAACCGATAAGCATGGAAGAGAATCTTATGAATAAAATACGTTCAGTAATTCCTCCCCTCTCACCTTTGTTGGTAACCCTGTATTGTCTCACCACAGCTGTAAACGAACCAAAAACGAAAATATAGGCTATAAATGAACCAAAAACGAAAATATGGGCTATAAACGAACCAAAAACTAATATATAGGCTATAAACGAACCAAAAACTAATATATAGACTATAAACGAACCAAAAACGAAAATATAGGCTATAAACGAACCAAAAACGAAAATATAGGTTATACATGAACTAAAGACTAATATATAGGCTTTAAACGAACCAAAAACGAAAATATGGGCTATAAACGAACCAAAAACGAAAATATAGGTTATACACGAACCAAAAACTAAGATATAGGCTATAAACGAACCAAAAACGAAAATATAGGCTATAAACGAACCAGCTCAATGCACATTACTAGCTAGAGTGAATAAAAGAATTAAGAGCACTGTACAGTCGTCGTCATGGTAGAACAAATATACATTTATCACAATATTTATTAGAAAATAAATTTTAATATTTCGCCATTTCTCCATTGAGAAACATAAAACATTTATACAATCTTGTGTTCATTTGATTTTTAATTTTTTTATGAACAAAAAATAGTTTTACCAGTGGCTTTAAATTCACTTAAAAAGTGCAATGGGTCTGTATACACTTAAAGCAATATTTTAGCTAACATTTTGGTCTTTAGACTGCATTTTGTCAGCCATCCTAGAGTCTATACATATAAGTTTTTTGAGATTCTATCAAAATTTATGAGATCTTATCAAAGTTCATGAGTTTCTATCAAAAATTTTGAGATTCTAATATAAGTTACAAACGAATTTATCAAATTTTTAGTAAATCTGAAAACGAATCAGAAGGGAAAATTTATAGATCCAGCTGATGAAAGAGATCATGTTAGCACTGACATACTTGTACTTTGAATTCTATCAGAGATTTTGAATTCTATCAGAGATTTTGTTGGGTTGAACTTTTTTTTGGCAATTTTGCGAAACAATGTGTACTCTACTTGCACTTTATTATCTTGTGGAAGGCTCGTCTAAAAATAAAAGTTTCATTATGGAGATTTTTAACTTTATTTTCAGTGAAAAAATGATTAAAGATTGAGTGTTATGAAAAAAATAGAAATTTTAACAAAAAGTTGATCGTATCTGCAGTGATCTCCATCAAACTAAAGTTTTCATTTTACATAACTCTTACATAATCAAATAAAAAAAAATTGAAAACACTTGCGTAGTTTTTGCAAACACTTTTTATAGAATGTTGCATATCGTACGTTTTTCCTTGATTTGCTTTTAATCTGCTTCATTTATATTAAATATATCCTAACCCAGGGCACAGCTAGAAAATATTATTAAACAATTGGAAAGTAAAAAGTGAAAAATAGAAAAGGAAAATGGTTTAGAGATCCTAAACTTTATGAAAATTTTGTGGTGTACCTGAAGTCTTGGTTGAAAACTGTATAAATTATCTAAAATAGGAAAAACTTATCAATACAGTTGCCAGGATAAGTATAATTATCAACATAAAGTATAGCATTAGGAATAGAACAAGAAAACTCTGGAATATGAAAACCTCTTTTAGGCTAAAGTTATGACTTATATGAAGCTTTTACAGCTTTTGTTTACTTGTAAACTTGAAATTCAAAAAAAGCTCATTAGAAATCCAAACTTAAATAGACAAACATCGTGTTTACTGTATTGATATACACGCCGAGCCCATTATTCGCAAAACCAATCTGATCCTGACTTGATTACTATGTATTTTAATTATCTATATAATAAAACAAGACATTGGTATGTTCCCTCTGTTTTCAAAATATTCAACTATTTTTTCATAAAAGCAATTACTTACACTGTTAAAACTGCACTTTCATGTTTCTTCAAATATCTATCAGGAACGGGTTTCAAATACAAATTAGTGTTATGTTACTAAGTCTCTATGACACTTACTTATTTAGAAACAACAAAACAATTTCCAGAAATCTTTTCTTTCGTTTACCTTGATTGTTATTTTAAAACAGTCGAAAATGTCAAAAAGTTTGAACTACCTTTGAATTTGAAGAAAATCTAGATAAAAACTGTTCTGAAAACTGCTTAACGCATTTCAAGGCGTGATTGTGAGATAGAGTAATTGGAAAGATTAGGGAAAATTACTGGTAGGGAGGGGAGAAGAATGGGGGAGAGAGGTCAGGGGAGGGGGGGATTCTACGAAAGGTCTAAGAACTTTGACAAAAGAAAAGAAAATAAGTTTTCCTTCCATTACCTCTAATCCTTTTTCTATGTTGAGCGAGATACGTTTTATCCCAAATTTACCCAATTTAGGTTGGACATTTTTCGAAATATTTAAAAATTGAAAAAAAATCTAATTTTTCCTCGAAATCTAAATCTTGCTCCAGTAGTAAATTTTAACAAAAACAAAGTTTAAAAAATCCCTTTATTTCTTCATTGCTTTCCAAAAGGCTAAAAAATGTTGAAATCTAAAAAAATAACGGAACTGAGGTTTTGCCACAAACTTAAAATCTAAAATCTAATCCCCAAATCTTAGACAGTTTGAACTAACACGATTCATAGTTTAAAATGCTAAAGGTGACTGCACTGGGTTGAAAAAAAAAGGATTAAATACTTCAAGTTTGTGACAAAAACTCATTTCCATTGTACTACACATACTAAACTTGCCCCAATATCTTTTCAAACTAATGTTGTACATAGATAGATAGATAGATAGATAGAACTTATAACGTGACCTAATGATTGGATTTTATATTTAGGGCCTTACCACTATTCCGCTAAAAGAATTGAACCTGATCTCAGGGAAAAAAGGGGGTGTGAAGGAAAGGGGTGGGGTATGTTTGAAAAAGGAAAAGAAAAGAGAATATGGTCTGTATGTATTCAATTTTCTAATATTTACATTAAAAGTTTATCTTCAAAGTTAACTTGAGTATTTGAACATTGACATGATGTATTTATATATATTTTGATATTATATATATAAATATAAAGTATAAGGTAAATATTTGAACTTTTAAAAGTATTTGATGTCTCTTCTTTTAAAATTTTACATCAATGTGGGAGCATACTCCAATATCTTTAGAAAACATTATAACATACCTCAATATATCCAATGGGAGAGTATACTCCAATATCTTTAGAGAACATACTTCAATATACCCAATGGGAGAGCAGACTTCAATATCTTTAGAAAACATACCTCAATATATCCAAAGGGAGAGCAGACTTCAATATCTTTAGAAAACATACCTCAATATATCCAATGGGAGAGCAGACTTCAATATCTTTAGAAAACATACCTCAATAGGTCTTTGGGTTTTACTTAACATCAACTTAAATATCTTCTTTTTTTAGTTTTGCTATTTAATAAAAAAATACAGTCTTAAAATTGTTGAATCCCTTTTAGACGGCACAGAAAATCCAGACTATATTTGGGAACTCTGAGGTGACACAGGTATTTTATGATTATTGTTATTTCTTATACTGAATAATTATAAAATTGAATTATTACAAATATATTTTTATTGTTAAACTCAAATCAAAAGAATCCTTTTTAACTAATTCTGTTGCTTAAAGCGCGATGGGTCAACCCCTGGGTACACTAGACTAGACTGGTATGAGTAGACAGTACACCAGGCAATCCTTTTAGTGGTTCGGATCATGCAACTTTGAACTTATGTAACCTGTCAACTGATGGTTGTTCAGAATCTTTTTTCTCTAATACTTCAAGGCTGGATACTCCAGATGGCTAAATAATAAACATTCAGAAAAAAGTCTAATTGCGGTTTATCTTTTGAACTAGAACTTGCTTATTTATGCTGCAGCATCGACATTGTAGCTCGGATAAAGATAAAGATTGCATTAAATTTACATTTCTCCAGTTCATTTTTGAAATTATTGGTCTTGTATTTATAACCGGGCTTTTATTTGGATCCGAATCCGATAAAAATAGTATCAATCAACCCCCAAATGAAAATTTGAATTAAAAAAATGTTTATTCTGCCTTCAGAACGTTTTTTCGCAATTAAAAATCTTTTAGTTTTTAACACTTTCTGGAAACCAAATTTTCATCATATTTACTAATAATAAAGGAATATAAAAAATTCATACTTTACTTTGCACTGTAGCTAGCTAAGAAATTGTCGTAAAACTCTTAAAAAAAATAAGAAAGCTTTCTAACAATTTATAATTAGCAAAAATGCCGGGAAAAATTAGTGTTTGTTGACAGTAATTGGTTTATACCGAGAAGCAAGTTAATTAAAAACAACAAAACATTATTTTTAATGGGACAGTACAGTGTACACGTCATTTCAAGTGACAGCTTCCATTTTTGGAATGGCTTGTCCGATTACACCTTTGTCTGATCAAGGATTAAAGTATTTTTCTTGATCAATAATTTGCAAATAGTGTATGGTTTTTCTAAGGTTATATATGTTTTCCTGCAGTAGAAATGCGCAAGTCACTTTTGTAAGATCAATGATCATTTTTCAAAATTATATACTATTTAATTCAAATCAGACAAAGGTTTGAAAGATATTGTTGTAAATCGGGCATTTTTAATATCATCTTTGCCAGTGTTTCATTTGAAAATGGAGTGGATACATTACGTCAATTTACATTTCGTCATCTTACATTTCGTAAATTTTACATTTGGTCAACCTTACATTTAGTCAATTACTACATTTGGTCAACTGTTACCAAACGTCAATTGATACATTTCGTCCTACTACATTTGGTCAATTGATACAAACACAAATAAATTTAGTCAATTTTGATTTATAAGGTTTCTACATTTATACATATATTTAGATATCGTGTATGGTACAGCTGTACATATATTTAGATATCGTGTATGGTACAACTGTACATATATTTAGATATCGTATATGGTACAACTGTACATATATTTAGATATCGTGTATGGTACAGCTGTACATATAATTAGATATCGTGTATGGTTCAATTGTACATATATTTAGATATCGTGTATGGTACAGCTGTACATATATTTAGATATCGTATATGGTACAACTGTAAATATATTTAGATACCGTGTATGGTACAACTGTACATATATTTAGATATCGTGTATGGTTCAATTGTACATATATTTAGATATCGTATATGGTACAGCTGTACATATATTTAGATATCGTATATGGTACAGCTGTACATATATTTAGATATCGTATATGGTACAATTGTACATATATTTAGATATCGTATATGGTACAACTGTACATATATTTAGATATCGTATATGGTACAACTGTACATATATTTAGATATCGTATATGGTACAACTGTACATATATT